AGCTGGGACCACAGGCGCCTGCCACAATGCCCGGCTATTTTTTGGTTGCAGCCGTCATTGTTATTTGGCGGGCCGGGCTGGATTCGAACCTGCTACCTTAGGTGTATGTGGCTGGCGCCTTGAGCCACAGGCACCGAGCCAATAATACCTTTTTTAATTTTTTTTTTTTAATTGCAGTTTTTGGCCGGGGCTGGGTTTGAACCCGCCACCTCCAGCATATGGGGTTGGTGCCCTACTGCTTTGAGCCACAGGCATTGCCCAAGAATAATATATTATATAAAAAAAAATAATAATACATTGTGTTGTATGTGTATATGTTATAATATTTAAAGCACTTTCTACAACAAGTGCTTTAAATATCATAAGATGGTAAAAGTATGCTAAAGGGAATAAAAACAAATTTTCAAATTCAGGTATTATTCAACAGTAAAATTAGTCAAGGATTTAAAAAACAGATACTAGGGATGTGCTGGTGGGACTATAACTTATTAGGAGCAGGAGAAAACTTATTTGTCAACATTAAAATATCCAGGCTCAGCGCCTGTGGCTCAAGGAGTAGAGCCCTGGCCCCATATACCAGAGGTGGCAGGTTCAAACCTGGGCCTGGCCAAAAACTGCAAAAAAAAAAAAAAAATCCAAAGTCTCCTGGCCCTGAATTTTTACTGCTAGGAATATAGTTTAGGAAAAGAATCTGAAATCCAGGCTATGTGGAAAACGCTGCTCATGAGGTTATTTATAATACCAAGGCATTAGAGACAGTGAAATTGCTAGCATCATAGAAAGAAATAAATGATGGCTCTATCAATATGCGTGGAAATTTAGTGGGGATAAAAACAAAACTAATCAGTTGTCTTTCAATTGTGGAATTAAATTAACTTCCCCTTTATTTTTCTTATCTTTGCTTATGAAATTAACATATGTTCATTAGAGCAATCTGTGAATCAAGAAAGTGATAAAAGTAAGAATCTTTAGCTCATCGCCTATAGCTCAGCAGCTAGGGCACTAGCCACATACACCAGAACTGATGGATTCGAACCTAGCCCAGGCCTGCCAAACACCAATGATGACTGCAACCAAAAAATAGCTGCTCATTATGGCTAGTGACCATAGTCCCAGCTGCTTGGGAGGCTGAGGCTAGAGAACCACTTAAGCCCAAGAGTTTGAGGTTGCCATGAGGTCTGACACCATGACACTCTACCAAGGGCAACATAGTGAGACTCTTGTCTAAAAAAAAGGCGGCTCTGCGCCAGTGGCTCAAGTGGCTAAGGTACCAGTCACATCCACCACCTGAGCTGGAGAGTTTGAATCCAGCCTGGCCCACCAAACAACAATGATGGCTGCAACCAAAAAATAACAGGGCGTTGTGGCAGGTGCCTGTAGTCCCAGCTACTTGGGAGGCTGAGCTGGAGAATCGCTTGAGCCCAGGAGTTGGAGGTTGCTGTGAGCTATGATGCTATAGCACTCTACCCAGGGCGACAGCTTGAGGCTATGTCTCAAAAAAAAAGTAAGAATCCTTTAAAATATATCACATCAGCTACCTACAGAGATGTTCTTAAGCTATTAAACCTATATAGGCTTAAGTGTGTGTATATATATATGATACGTATATGTTAATTGTAAAGATGTGGAAATCTGTTTATGGAAAAGCATTTGGTGGACTCAAGTGTAAGGTTTGGGTTATAAGTTTTTAATAAGTTTATAGGGTGGGCAAAAGAAAAGTACAGTGCAAACTTCACGTCCTGTTTCATTTAGATCTTTGAAGATGGTCATTTGAGCCACTTTATAGATGGAAAAGGAGGTATGGGGAATTGGATGTCCTATGTCAACTGTGCCCGCTTCCCCAAGGAGCAGAACCTAGTTGCTGTGCAGTGTCAAGGGCAAATATTTTATGAGAGCTGCAGAGAAATTCACAAGCACCAAGAGCTCCTTGTATGGTATGGAGACTGCTATGAGAAGTTTCTAGACATTCCTGTGAGCCTTCAAGTCACAGAGCCCGAGAAGCCATCTGAGCCCCCTGAAGGTGAGTGTACACCTTTGCCTCACCTAGTGAGGGCATCCTATTATAAAAGGACTGGGCTCTTTTCTACAAACCATCTTTTTGGGGCTCCTCCCTCCCAAAGGCTGGTGCAGGAGACTAAATGGAGTGTGTCTCTAACCAGGGAGGTATTGCCCAGATGAAGGAAAGTGTCCTCATCTTTCCAATTCTGCTGAAGCTGCTTCAATTCACAAGGATAACTTTTCTTCTTCCCCTTCACCCCCTTCCTGAGAATAAAAGAAAAGTGAAATAAACGGATGTAACTTCTGCTGTAGGTGAACCAGTTTCTCATTCATCTCTGCACTGGCTGACAGCTGATGAAACCAAAGTGCTATAGCAGTGTTTTTCAAATGGTGGGTTGGCAGGGTTGGAATCTCATAGTGGGGTGGGAAGTCAGTTTGGTGGTGGAAACCAGCATTAAAGATAAAAGAGAGAGAATAAGAATAAAGTAAAATGGGAAATAGTGATAGGAATCACTTAAGTGACAGTAAGGTTTGTTTTGTGAAGGTTTTGTTTCAAATAAGTACACGTGTATTCTGGGTGTCAAATTTAAAATGTTTTTTTTTTTTAAATATTTATTTATATATTTTTTTCCCAGTTTTTGGCCAGGGCTGGGTTTGAACCCACTGCCTCCAGTATGTGAGGTTAGTGCCCCCACTCCCTTAAGCCACAGGCACCACCCTTTTTTTTTTTTTGAAGACAGAGTCTTGCTTTGTTGTTCCTAGTAGAGTGCCCTAGCATCATAGTTCACAGCACTCTCCAAGACTTGGACTCAAGTGATTCTTTTTTTTTTTTTTTTGCTGTTTTTGGCCTGGCCAGGTTTGAACCCACCACCTCCCGTATATGGGGCTGGTGTCCTACCCATTTAAGCCACAGGCGCTGCCCAATTCTCTTTCTTTCTCTCTCTCTCTTTTTCTCTTTTTTTTTTTTTTTTAGAGACAGAGTCTCACTTTATTGCCCTTGGTAGAGTGCTGTGGAGTCACAGCTCACAGCAATCTCCAACTCCTGGGCTTAGGCGATTCTTCTGCCTCAGCCTCCCAAGCTATTTTTTGTTGCAGTTTGGCCGGGGCTGGGCTTGAACCGGCCACTCTCAGTATATGGGGCCAGCACCCTACTCACTGAGCCATAGGCGCCGCCCCTGATTCTCTTTTTTGTTTGAGACAGAGTTTCACTATGTCACCCTCGGTAGAGTGCTGAGTCATCATAGCTCACAGCAACCTCCAACTCTTGGACTTAAGTGATTTTCTTGCCTCAGCCTCCCAAGTAGCTGGGACTACAGGCTCCTGCCACAACACCTGGCTATTTTTTTTGTTGCAGTCATCATTGTTGTTTAGCAGGCCCAGGCTGGGCTCGAACCTACCACCTTTGGTATATGTTGCCAGCACCCTACTCACTAAGCTACAGGTGCCAAGCCTCAAGTGATTCTCTTGACTAAGCCTCCCAAGTAGCCGGGACTATAGGCACCCACCACAATGCCTGACTATTTTTGGAGATGGGTCTTGCTCTTGCTCAGGCTAGTGTTGAACCCGTGAGCTCAGGCAATCCACCTGCCTTGGCCTCCCAGAGTGCTAGGATTACAGGCATGAGCCACAGAGCCAGGCCATAAAATGTATTTCTCACTATATATTTCTTACTCATTCAAGTTTGAGACACATTGAGCTAGACTCTCACTCTCAGGCTTTATTAAGGCGGGTGTGAATACCCCAGGATCATGTAGATGGTGTAGGAGTGAGAAGGTGAAGGTGGGAGTAGGAGCAAGGAGGTAGGATTCTCTGTGGTCTAGAGCTCAGAGTGGTCTCATACTCAGCACCAAACCAAGTTTAAGTCTTTTTTTGGTCACTTTCCAAAATGTACCAACTGCTTTTGAAATGAAAGTGGAAAGTACATGCTTACTAACATACAAAATGTAATCATTATCCTTTTGAGAAATTATTTAGCATCATATATCAAACTTTGATGGCTCAGTAATACTCCTCTGGGAATTCATTGTCAAGAAATAGTGCAAAAGGAAAAAGCATTGTCCACAAGGATTTTTACTATAACAACATTCAAATTAGTGAAAAATCACAAACAATCTAAATGCTCAGTAGTAGCATAATCGTTAAGAAAGTGAGATGCTATGGGTTGAGCACCCCTAATCCGAAGTGCTCCAAGACTTTGAGCACCAGTGTGATATCACAAATAGTTAATGAAAACTTTGTTTCATGTGAAGATTATTTTTATTTTTTTTATTTTT